TTGACAGGTTCTGTGATATCTCTAAACAATCTGGTGAGAAAATCATGTTTTGGTTGTGCTTTACTATACAAGTAAAATGTGGGTCAAACTTTAATTTTTTGAAAATTAAGTAAAACATTAAGGTCAAGGGGTAAGAAAAATCATGAAGTAATACACCTTTGGGAAGGAAATATAAAGAATTCGCAGCTAGGTTAAGAACGCCCAAGGGAAATACGCCTTAAAATATTCCGAGAAAATCTTTATTATTTAATATTATTTTTATGAGCATGAAGTTAAATTTCATGGGAATTCTATAGATACTTTTGCATTATTTCTGCTAAATTTAGCCAAAATGACTTCACGTACAGAGCTGTTTGTCGTATGGCACGTTTAAAGTAAGAAAAAAAAATGTATGGCTACAAGAACAGTAGAAGACAAAAATATTTCATATGTAATTAAAAACACGGGCTTAATATCTCTAGACAGCGATGTCCTAATTTATGATAACCGTTAATAAATAAATACGATGTGATTTTTTTATTTACTTGCTTTGATCTGCCATTTTATAAGATCTTAAACACTGAGCCAATTTTTTTCATCTGTATCAATGAGCCTTTATACTATCAAGAATATACTATACTAGAACTGGGGTTCTACCATTTTGTATGTAAATACATTTCCATGTTTAATGTGATTTATTTTAAAGTTAATACAAGACAGTTCATAACACTAGGATTTTACTTTTTAAACATAAAGATTGGTATGAAAGAATGTTAAATTACATTTGGGAATTTTTTTTGCTTTTGCTTAACGGAAAAATGAAGGCCTAAACTTGCTCACTTTATAAGCTTGTTTTCCGCTTATCGTTCTTGATTTTGTGTTTGCATGACGTCACAACGACCCATTGATGTAAACAACGCGTTAGATCTAGTGTAATTTTACTGTATTTTATTGAGTTAATTGTAGTTTTTTTTGTGGACATAAATGTGATTATGTTTTTAGATGAGCTGTCTGATTCTAAAGAACAGTTTACTCTATTTAAACTTTTTGTTAATTGGGCACAGCAACTAAAAACGAGAGCTATTCATTGTAAGTTGATCCTGGTGAACACCCTGATGAAATCAAGATTTTTCACTCAAACCAGGATTACTTACTGAGTATTTTAAATTAATACTTAACCTTAGAAACAACAATCTCCTTGCTTGTTTTTTTTAATACTTATATGATACATTATGTAACCCCCCCTTTCCTAAATTAACACGGGGATGTTGAAGTTTATGACAAACATTGATCTATGAAAAGTCGTCGTATTTGAATGCACACTTCTGCTAACTGGAACACGAGAACTCATGAAAATGATATAGAGAAATAGGAGGTTAATTACGAACTCATCGCACTTTTGCTGTCACAAGAAACGAAATTTAAAAAACTTACAAGCATTACAAGCATGCACGTAAATATACCTGTACTGTGATGTTACAATGATGTTACGGTACTGATACTTTTATAACAGTTGTGTAACTGCAGCTAAATATAAAATACTCATACAGTGCGTGAATAAGATGATCCTTGAAAAGAAACCCATGCCCCCAATGTTTATTGTTTGCGAGACTGAAGCTAAACAATTTAAGAATTAAAAATGTTTACAGTTAAACATTCCTTTTTGCAACATTTAATCTTTGTTGATATAGATTTAGAAAATTTGATTTGTAAATACATACAGAAACGTAGGATTACATATATAAATAGAATTGTGTTTAAAGTCCGAGGCTAAAAAGTCACATAGTACAGTGTTATGTGTAAATGTATCGACATTGGTAAAAAAAAAATACAGGATGAGAAAGAGTCAATGAGAAAGGGAAAGCCAAAGAAAGAGTTTAAGGAATAACGGAGAGAGGAGAAGGCGACGTAGCGATATCATAGAATCATTTCATTTGCATAAACAGTTAATAAATGACATGATTTATCCTTTGGTGTAGTTTCACTTTCACACACCGCTGTCAATGGAATCTAGCTTTATTTACATGTATATGCGCATGCTACCGATCGATAATCGATAGTGTTAACATTCTGATCGTTCATGAATAAAATGGAAATTTAATAAATCATCTTTTCGTGTTGGAAATTTACTCAACTGTAATGCTATTTGACAGCCTTTATATTTAAATATTACTCGAGCACTCTTTGGCCATCGTTTTTCCCTCTCTCTCATTAGTAGAAGGATGACAAAAACTACACGGATAAACATGCTAAAAGCTTGCAAATATGCAACAGGATGTTTAAATACAAACACTATCTGGTTTGAAAATCGTATATTCAGGCACAATTTAGTCAAGACAATGCTATTTCTTCAAAATTACGCTGCATAAGACATGATCGGCTATATAAATATTAGAACTGAATGTAGCGAGTAGGTCTTATTTACGTCATAAGCAAAGGAAGATAAGCCGCGCTAGCTGAAATTCATCTTCGCAGTCAAGTATCTTTTATCGTCTCTGCTGCCTCCAACTTGCCTTAAAAAATCCAAAATGTTATTTCAGGCTGATTAATGGTCCTCAGATGAACTCGTTTCCGTATTAAACCCAAAATACGCAAGACATTGTTTCGTTTGACCTTTAAATTCACTTTTGGGCATCAATTTTTATTTTAAAAAGATACATAATTGGCACTGGTAAAATGGATCGTTCAGTTCAACTGTGTTGACCCGCGTACACTCTACAGGAGAACCCCGACAAAGTACAGTGTACGTGCGGTATTCGTTACACATAATTACATATTATTGATAATTCAGGGCTAGACAGTTTGGAGTTAATTGTTTCAATTTCCAGTAAACGATTATTAAATTCTCAACACCTAAACTTCGACCACACAATAAATACCTTCGGTCCTATGGCTATTTTCAGCGAGGTGGACATGCTAATTTAAAAGCAATGATCTAATAAAATGTTTTAAAATTGGAAAGAGTAAGATAATTCATAAAAAAATTACTGATACCAAAGACAACAAAATGTTTTAGCGCTACACGTGTAGCACTAATCCATGAATAGACCAGCCACTCCATACCTGGTGATCGCGCTAAATTTTGAATAAGCCAATTTTTTCTACACATTCAGTATAAGGGAAATCTGTCACCATTTAATTAAATAGGTTTTCTTCAAGACACATTCCTTAAACCAAAAAGGGTTTGGAGCAACTTCCCGATGCCAAGGAATGATACAAAATTTAGCCGTTTTTGATAAACTTTGTACATTAACATTATTCGAATTAAAATGTAGAAAAAAGAAATAGCTTAAAACGTGCTCCCAGCACTTTTCAAAATGGTAGGGACAATGGCTACATATATCTTTAAAAAATCGTAATTTATAGTTTAGCGGATATCGTTGAACTTTTGACATTTTGGAAATCATGTACCTTTGATTGTAGTACGATTATGAATATGTGCAGCACTGGGTTATTATATACTCAACCAAAAAAAAAAAAAAAAATAAACGCATATTCAGAATAATGTGAAAATCTAAGTTTTCAGTTTAAACCTTATTTTATTTAAGCAAATTTAGAAAGTGTTTTTATAAAAACTAAATATGTTCTATGTTGCAAATTGAAAAGTCAAGTTGATGTCATTTTCATCGCTCCCAAATTCAAGGGGCATAACAATATGTACTGTGCGACGTCTCAATGCTAGTGGGTTTTCAACGTACGGATATCGTGGAGGAATACCATCTCTTTTCAGTCTCTTGCAAACAATTTATGCACTTTTATGCTGATTTTTCATCCAGCAATTGTAGCAGCAGTTTGTACAGCACGTTCTGAATAGCATGAGGTGCTGAAAAGGGGGGGGGGTGTCTGACGGTCCTGCCTGGTTGTGGTTACCCACGGATGACCAGATAATGGTCTTTAGACGTTACTTTAACGGTTGCAAAGACTATTGATTTATTCCAAATACAGTTGCAACTTCCTGTTGCGTAGCTCCGTTTAGTATCATCGTTAGCCTGGTTTTGATAATCATTGTTTCACCATGGCATTGCAGCATCAACACTGCATTCAAATCTTACATCTGAGTTTGATAGGATTGTTAATAGTTTCTCTAAATCCAAAATATCAACGAAGATAGACATTCGATTTAGAAGAAATTATGAAAAACACTACTTTTATAAGCATGATTAATCAAGGGAGATAATTCAACACTTGGGTTTTAAAACCCCATGTTGTCCTTTAAATAGGTCACAGGTATCCAATGATATAAAAAATAAATGTTCGATGTACATTTAAAAATGTCTAAAAAACGTTTCTTTTTTTGTTGAGTATATACGGCTTATTCTTTTTAAATTCAATAACTCTAATGAATTGATAAAAACAGTCAAATATATGACTAGATTATAATTAGATCACCCATATCTTATTTAAATTTTCTAATTTACAGACAAACAACGTAATTTTGCATGTGCGGATCCAGAAGGGGCTGCGGGTGTGGGATGTGGAGGGGGTCTGAATTGCAGAAATATAAATTTATAAACAGAAACAAGTAAAAAGTGACCTTCGCTCTTATACAAAACAAGCTTAGTCAACTCTGCAAGATATTTCTGCAACCAACGGTACATATTAAAGGTTCTTTTTTCTAGAAGCCCATTTCAAAGATGAGTGGTTGAATATAAGTTTAATTTCAGATAGTTTATAATAAAGACATAGTCTATACGCATTTCTAACTCTTGTTTAATCTTGTCTATAAGAGGAATGTTTTCAAATCTCTACATATTGTCCAAATCAGATCATTAAGACTTTTCTAGGCTTGTATTTGAATCTAAAAGGTAGTAAATCAGCACAAAAACCCTTTTCTTTATACAACACACAATTGACTAAAAAAAATGATTCCTGAAAGATGAGTACAGTGTAGTTTGACGAATTGCAGACTTTGCAGACTTTGTTTGAACAGATGTAATAAATTAAATGTTCTTACCTGGTATTGAACTTTTATTTTCTTTCTCTTCTTCTTTGTGTATGTTTTCTTTTTTACTTCATAGATGGATATGTTCAATCAACACACTGCAGATAAAGAAGAAAAAGCATTTAGTAGAAAAAGTATATGAAACATAAATTAGTTGTGAATTTGCCTAACTCCTAAAAACACAATTTCAAGTATGGTTTTCCAGTTTTCGGTCATATATTTATTTGTCACATGATCACTAAATGGTTGTGAATTTTGTTATGGCTGCCTCCCCCTATTAAATTATTGTTTAAATTACATAAACGTATCGTTATTATTAAAACATTTTTTGATTAGTAAATTCAATTAAACAATTAAACTGGTATCTAAGTGACATTTAAGTAATTACAATATTACATTGTTTATGTCTTTTAAATATACATCAAAGAACAAGCTCAAACATATGAATGATAAAAAAACAAAACTGTAAGTTATATTCTGGATAAAGGAAGAAAAACCTAAAATTACTTGGATATCTTGAATTCCAGTTTTTAATTTTTGATTAAGATTTCAGACATTAAATTTCTGTAAAGATAAAACTTGGTTAAATGAAAGATGAAGAATGGAATTGAATTACACCCTCCACCTCCCATGCCCAGCCTGGAGCAAAGATACACAGACAGGGAGGATATAATGAAAATTAAATTGAAAATCATTGAAAACGGATTACACTGTATTGTGATTGTTCCTTTAGATTAACATTTCAGATGACAGTCCACTCTTTTCTCATTATTCCAATTGAAATAAAGAAAAAAGCAACAGTGCACAACTTGCTCATAGCACTTTTCGAAATAGTAGGGACAATAAGCTACATATGTCTAAAAAAAATCATTATGTATAGTTTAGCGGATATCGTTGAACTTTTGACATTTTGGAAGGCTTGGGCCATTGATTATTGTATGATTATGAATATGTTCAATACTGCGTTTTTGTTTGAGGCTTATTCCTTTTCAATTTAATTAAACTTATAAACTGATAAAAACATTTAAAAAATATGATTAAATTTTACTCAGATTACGGTTATTTAATTTCAATTATCTAATTTACAAACTGCATAATTTTACATGTGCAGATCCAGAACGGGGGGGGGGGGGGTGTCTGGAGAGTATCCTAACCCGACTTGGAAAATCCAGAGTTACAAATTTATAACTTGAACTAAGTCAAAAGATATCTTCGCCCCCATACAAAAAGTAGACCCCTTGAAACCCAGATATATGTGAAACTGATATGAAATATCATAAGTGCTTAGTAGTCAACTAATCAACTATCTAACACACACCCCTACACACCCACCACTTCAAACCCACCCAACGAAATAGGATTTTACGTTAGGGCATGATTTTTTTTTGGCTTGTTCAACAAATTTCTGTCTGCTTAGTTAAAAAAACCACACACTTAGTCAACTCGGCCGGATATTTCTGCAACCAATGGAACATATTGTAGATTCTTATTTCTAGAAACCCATTCCATAGATAAGTGGTTGAATATTTTTGCCTTATTAAAGAGATCAGTCAATATTCAATTCAATGTCTTTTTACGTTTAAATCAAGCAAAGCTCGTCTTTTTTGTAATTTCGGAAAGTTTATAATAAGGATCAAAAGTCATAGTCTATAGGCATGTCTAGATAAGAGGAATATTTTCAAATCTATATATATATATATCATCTGAATAAGATCATAAAGACTTTACTAGGCTTGTATTGAATCTAAAAGGTAATTAGTCAGCAGAAAAACAATTTTCGATGTACAACACACAGTTGAGTACAACAAACTGATACCTGAAAGATCAATACATAACAAAAGTATCATAATGATTTCAAATTACATGTACGTTTTACTTTGATATTTAGGAAGGTGCGGTATGACGAATTGTAGACTTTGTCTGCACAAATGTAATATCATAAATGTTCCTACCTGGTATTGAACTTTTATTATCTTTCTCTTCTTCTTTGTCTATTTTTTTTTATTTTATAGATGAAAATGTTCAATCAACACACTGCAAATTAAGAAGAAGAAAACGCATATAGTAGAAAACGTATATTAAGCATAAATTTAAAGTTTTGTGCCTGTTGTGAAATTTGCCTCACTCCTAAAAACACAATTTCAAGCATGGTTTTCCTGTTTTCGGTCATATATTTGTCACTTGACTCATACATGGCTGTTAATTTTGTTTTGTCTGCCTCGCCCGTTTCAAATTATTGTTTAAATTACATAAACGTAGTTATTATGAAACCAATTTTTTGATTAGTAAATTCAATTAAACAATTAAACTGGTATCAAAGTGACATGATATTTAAGTGATTACAATAGGGCCGCCACGGTTCAGACATTTTTCGGTTCGAAAATAAATTCTCGGTTTTCGTTTTTTTCGGTTCGATTTTCATTTTGAGAATTTAAATAAAACATCTTTATATATATCAAAGGATAATAAGGATTAAGGACATTGTAGAAAGTACTATTTTGCCGACACAAATTTCTATCCATTTTATTCAACAGAACAAGTTGTTAAATGTAACAAAAAATAACAAAGTAATAAACTTCTTGTTTAAAATAAAATAAAATAAATAAAGTTATTGACTAGAGTTATCTTGTTTCAAACAATTGAAAATTCAAAACGTGAAGTATTCCCACACTTTTGATTTGGTTTTCCTTCCACATGTGTATGCCATGTTTAAATGTCTTCGATGTTACCTGTATTTTCTTTGGTTAAAGAACATTTCATTGAAATAAACAACCAATCACAACGCGTGTTGCAAGCAAATTAGTATTATATCAAAGATTAAAAAAAAAGGAACCGAATTCCGGAAAAACTGACTTGAACCGAACCGAACGCCATTTCGGAGCGGTTAACCGAGTTTTCGGTTAACCGTGACAGCCCTAGATTACAATATTACATTGTTTATGTCTTTTAAATGTACATCAAAGATCAAGCTCAAACATATTAAAAATGAAAAAACCTAAAATTGTAAGTTTCTATTCTGGATAAAGGAAGAAAAATCTAAAATTAATTAGATACCTTCGATTCCAGTTGTTAGTTTCTAATTTTGGTTGAGATTTCAGATATTGAATTTCTGAAAAGTTAAAACTTGATTGAATGAAATATGAAGAATATAATTGAATTACACCGTCCATACTTAGGCAGCATTGTCACAGCCACTGGTGGAACAGATGAAGACATAAAAGCTAGAATTAATAAAGCCAGACAAATCTTCACCACCCTCAAGCCTGTGTGGAGCTCAACAGCACTATCCACACACATAAAACTCCGCATCTACAACACCAATGTTAAGTCTGTGCTCCTCTACGGGTCTGAAACATGGAGAGTCACCAACACCACCTCCAACAAACTACAAACCTTCGCTAACAGATGTCTGCGCCACATATTAAACATCAGATGGCCAGAAACTATAAGCAACAAGATCCTGTGGGAAAAAAGAAAGACCAGATCACTTAACAAATAGCCCGCAGAAAGTGGTGATGGATTGGACATACCCTCCAAAAACCACCAGGAGACATTACACACCACTCACGGAAACGGAACCCACAGGGCAAACGGCGAGTTGGGCGTCCCAGGAAAACTTGGCGAAGGTCATGTGAAGAGGAGATCAGGCAATGTGGGCACACTTGGGAACAACTGAAAAAGGCTGCCCAGAATAGAGTGCGGTGGAGAACTGTTGCCGAGGCCCTATGTTCCACCAGGAACCAAAAGGAACCATGACACCGTCCACCTCCCATATCCAGCTTGGAGCAGAGATATATAGACAGCAAGGGTATAATGGAAAGTAAATTGTTTGTCATTTAGGGGACCTTAAAATTGATTATTATGTTTTTTACCTTCAGATTAACATTTTAGATGACTATCTACTAGGGATGTCAAATCCGTCAATTTTCAATACTCGGTTACTCCGACGTTTTTCCGATCGAGTACCCGGGTACTCGGTAAAAGTGTTAATAATAATGAACAAGTAAATTGAAGACTGTAAAATATTGTCAACTCTTGTAGAAATAAAACCAGATGCACTGATAGGAGGCTTATCCGTAAAAGTATTTCTGTTGTACTAATGATGAGCACTTCGTGCCCGACGAAATTTAATATAGCATTTTTTTTTAATTCAATTTATTCATCAGATCAATACAGGAAATAAATTCATAAGTTGTTCACAGTATTTTTGTTTAAAAAAATAATCTTCTCCCTAATTGTAATTTAACATTTTGTCGCGTTTGACGACCAGTTATCACTCATCAAAGCTGCATACGGTATCAATTTGAACTTTATCAAGTTCTCCTAACAGAGCGGATTTACGATTTTTTGTACACTTTTTTGATCCTAGATTTCATAATATTACGGGACGGTATTTTGTAGTTTGGTGCAACGATGGACATCAGTTTTTCTTCAAGCCTTTGCCTTCAACCAGTTGTATTGTCATGTAATCAAACACAACCGTATCAACAATCTCACGTGTAATATCATCCGCTCTTTTCCCGAGAATTTACGGCTTCTCGGAGAATTGACAAAATTGTTTAATTTATTAGACATAATGGATCTTAAACGATGTTTAGTGAAAACAAATAATTAAAGCCAAAAATTAAGGAAGAAGGCAGCCAAAGGTGAGAAAAGCCAGGAACCCCAGGTGCTTCTTCACGATAATTACTGTATAAACACTGCCACAGGCAATAACGGTCATTTAGAGTCCTAGTAAACCTACAAGTGCAATGAGAATTTTAGGTTTTAAAAGAGATTGTTTAATGCATTAATAAATAAGCTTAGAAATATTCGAAAATATTCATGCGAGTAACAGAGTACCGATTTTAGTATTCGATACTCGGACGTTCGATCGAGTACCCGGTTAACCGGGTAATCGTTTACATCCCTACTATCTACCCTTTTCTATTGAGAAATCTAAGTCCAAGTCGCTTTCTTTTCTTGAATAAAAAGAATCATACATGTACCATTTATTTATCAAAATTGAGATTCTGTATTAAAATCAGACTAGTGTGTTTAACATGCTTTATTTGTTTAATTTATTTTCAAGGTTCGAGACAATACAGTGTAACACCATGTACAGTATTTTTCATCATGTGAACTTATACGGATTCTGCAAAGCAGAAATATTAGAGGTACTTTTGCAGTCTTATTCACAAAGAACTACTGTTCATCATAATGCAAACGCTTACATGCACATGCTAAGTTTTAGAATAACTAATTCCAGACACAAATTATATCTTATGTTTAATAAAAAAAATAGTTAATGGAAGATAAAATGTTTAGAATATTTCCAATATTTTAAATACTTATGCACACCAGTAGGTTGATTAAGTTTTATATATAAAATGTAAACTGTAGCCATTTGTATTATATGGAAATCAACGTTGCTCAATAAGGCATTGAAAATACAATTGATTTTAAGTAATTTATTTATTGTGAAACGTGTAGTCACTAGATTGATCAAAAGCATTTTATTTTTATTCAGTAAAAAGATTTTAATGCTTCTTCCAGGCAATTTTTTTCAAGAAACTGGACTAAAATGTGAATGTACAAAGTTTATACCACCACAGAAATACTTCTTTACATTCCACTTTGTTGGGGTTTAGCAAATTGCAACAAATTGTTCTCATGTCATTATAAAATACCACAGGTGTGATTGTGGCAATAAAATTTATTTTACATAATGTTGAATTATGGAAAACACTGTAAAAATTTGCTTAAAGAACAACTGATGAACGTTGGCAAATAAAAAAAAAATCTCATAGAAATCAGTGTTTATTTCGGGCGGAGGATGTTTACAAGCACTTGTGTCAAGAATCATTACATTACAGGCATTTCAGTTTGAAATGTCTGACAATGTTGCAGGATCAATGAACTTTTAGAATATATGTAACAAAATAACTACCCTACCTGCTTCTTTTGTTTACATTGAAAATGTTAAATATTCTATGAACTTAATAAAAGAATAATAATAATAAAACTCAGATGTACTTTGTTACGTCTATTGTGACATTTTTGCCTAACTCTCTGATGCTACTAACACAACACAAGCACGGTTTTCCTGTATTACAGAAATTTCTCTGTCAGGTGAATAAACAAAATAACACTTCAACTGTGTCAACCCGCGTACGCTTTATAGGTGAACCCAGACAATGTACATTGCACGTGCAGTATTAGTTACAAAATACTACCCTGATATAATTACACATTAATGATCATCCTGGGCTAGAAAATTTGAAGTTAATTGTTTCAATTACTAGCAAATGGTTATACAAGGCTCAACCCCTTAACTTCGACCGCACAATTAATACCTTACGTCCTAAGCCTATTTTTAGCCAGGTGTACCCCCTAATTGAAAAATAATATTTTTAACACCACATGTGTAGCGTTAATTCATAACTACGCTAAACATCCATTGCTGGTGATTGTGTTAAATTTTGAATAAGCCAATTTTTGTACACATTCAATATAAGGAAAATCTTTCACCATTAAATTGAATGTGTTTTCTTCAAGACACATTTCTTAAACAGAAAATGGTTGGAGCAACTTCCCCATGCCCAGGAGTTATATAAAATTTAGACGTCTTTTGATAACCTCTTTCTATTAACATTATTTGAATTGAAACATAGAAAAATAAGCAACAGAGCACAACCTGCTCCCAGCAGTTTTCAAAATAGTAGGGACAATGGATATATATATCCCTAAAATACCATTATTTTTAGTTAGGCGGATATCGTTAACTTTTTGACATTTTTGAGGTGTTGTGCATGTGTAGAACAATTATGAATATGTGCAGTACTGCAGTTTTTTTATGAGGCCTAATCGTTTTAAATTTAATAAGATTAATAAATTGATTAATACATTCAAAATTAGGACTAAATTTTGGTCAGATCACCAATATTGAATTCAAATTTTCTTACTTACATGCTTCATAATTTCGCATTTGCGGATCTAGAGGGGTGGGGGGTTGCAATTGGAAAGGGTCCGGACCCCACTTGGAAATTGCAGAGTTATAAATTTATAACTTAAACCAAGTTAAAAGTAACCATCGCCCCCACAAAAAAGGTAGACCCCTTGAAACCCAGATATGTGTTAAGCTGGTATGAAAAATCATATTTATTTAGTAATCAACTACATAGCACACACCCCTACACACCCACCACTCCCAACCAACCCAACGAAATAGAGTTTTCAGGTTTTGGTGAGATTAACCTTTTTTTGCTTATTTAACAAAGTTCTGCCTGTCTGGTCAAAAAACAAGCTGAGTCAACTTGGAAAGATACATGAATTTCTGCAATCAAGAAGAAAAATTAAAGATTCTTATTTCTAGAAACCCATTTCATAGATAAGTAGTTGAATATTTTTGCCTTATTAAAGAAATCATTCAATCTCAGTTCAATGTCTTTTATTAATCAAGTAAAACACATGAAATACATTTTTTTTGTAATTTCGGATAGTTTATAATAAAGACAAAACGTCAAAGTCTATACACATTTCTTACTGTTGTTTAATCTTATTTATAAGATGAATATTTTGAAATATACAAGCATATGTATCATACAAAAAAGATCATTAAGACCCTACTAGCTTGTATTTGAACCTAAAAGGTAATTAGTAAGCACAAAACCGTTTCCCTTATTCATGTACAATACACAGTTATTAACAACAAAGCGATTCCTGAAAGATGCGAACATAACCAAAGTATTTTAATGATTTCAGACTAGATGCACTTTTTATATTATTATAACGTGCAATTTGACGAAATCCAGACTCTGTCTGAATAAATGTAATAAAATTTTATGTTTCTTCCTGGTATTGAACTTTTATTATCTTTCTCTACATCCTTGTCTATGTTTTTTTTTACTTTATAGATGGAAATATTTAATCAAAGCGCTTCAAATTAAGTAGAAAAAGCATTCGTTAGAAAAAGTACATAACGAAATTATAAAAAAAAATTCTGTTGTGAAATTTGCCTAACTCCTTAAAACACAACTTCAAGCATAGTTTTCCTGTTTTCAGTCATATATTTGTCACGTAATTTTTATAATAATTAATTTAAAATTTTGTTTTGTCTGTCTCGCCCCT